AGAAACCACTCAAAAGTTATGCAAAACCCAAATTTGTGGTGAGTTTGTGATAAATTAGTTGCACTGATTTGTTTGGGTGACAGGGAATTAGCAGTTTATGACCACTGGAGGGCTCTGTTTCCATTTCATAATATGACTTAGATTAATTACACTTTCCTTTAATATTTGAAATTATTTAACATTTACTTGGAGTTACAAGTCAAAAAGAAGGCATGTTTTTTAAGGAATTGTTTTATTTATTTATTTACTGCAAAAAAAAACAAAAAAACCATGACTTCCAGATATTCGTAGATTCGGACACTTCTTGACCTATGACCTTCTGCTGAAACTTATCTGTGTTTTGAGTTTCATCGCATGAGTCTGTAGCTTGAGGCTCAGTCTTAACATTGTAATTTCAAACAACATAAATGTCACGAAGTAGATAAGTCTTTGTATTTTAAAGTTTACTTCTTGGAGCCTTTTCTGATAATGGACCTGTACTTTTCAGTAATTCTCAGATTCAGGAATATCACATGTTAAAATCCTAAACAGAAGAAGCTCATGTGATGCTCCTGTGTATGATGTGGACCTAGAGCTGAAAATATGGGTGCACAATTCATAGCCCAGATGAATGAACACTTTTGCAAACTTAACTCTCTATATCTCTCTCTCCAAGCCTAGTTATTCAGATTTTTTTTTTTTAACCAAAGTTTGTTTGGTATCAGTATTCATTATAATTTTTGAAACTCTGTAATGAATAGGGAGGGGTGGGTGAACAATTTCCAAAAAGACAGAAAGTTTTCAGTTTTTCTTCTTCCCACTCCTTTCGAGAAATGTGCTTTTCTGTTGTTTACAAAGTGTATGTAATATCTCTTTTGGCACAAACTCGGAATAAAAACTAATCAATCAGTCAAACTTAAAGCCAGAATATGTCACTATGTTAAAAATAGCCTTTTTTGTGTGTATTGCACTCAAAAACGTGTCCTTACTTTGTGTGGGATTGCATGGCCACAAACCTGACCCTTACTTGGCCTGGAGGAGGGTCCATTTCTGCTTGTTTCTATAAATATGTTGTTCCTTTGCATTAATTTTCCACAGTATTTTATAAAACATGTCTATTTCCATGAAGAATGTTCAGAACTGTTCCATGGAATCATGCAGAAAGTGACTGCACATTTAACAAGAGCATCAGATGGTAAATCCCTGTCTGTTTCCTCCAGCACTAGTGTAATCTCTCTCTGTATTATCTCCATATACACTAGAACACCACACTTTTTCAAGTTTTTTACTGTTTACTGTTAACCAGTGAACGTATTCTAAACTTTTGATTCATAAAAGTGTCCACCTTTGGCAGGTATAACAGCTGAACACACTCATGGCTTGTTCTTTTTACATTAGAAATCAAATATTCTTCTGAAAGTTCTTCCCAAGTCTGTTGCAGAAGTTCCCATAAATGTGCGGCACTTGTAGGTTGTTTGACTTTCACTCTGTCCAGTTCATCCAAAACCAGCTCGATGGGGTTTAAGTCTGGAGACTGTGCTGGACACTCCATGTTTTCCAGTTTACCATTTTGTTCTTTTTTCCTGAGGTAGTTTTGGCAGAGCTTTGACTTGTGTTTTGTATTTTTTTATCTTTTTTATTAACCTCTGGCTGTTCAGTTCTTACCTTTGTAACATTTCTAGCTCTTCACTTAACTTGCATGAGTTGAATTGCAATAAATAACTGGAAAGATTTGGATGTTCTAAAACTTTTGACCGGTCGTGTACCTGGAGTTGTGTTTTGTTTAATTAACACATGTTTAACACAGAAACCCTGCATATTTAGGCTGAGTTCTTCTGTCAAAACATTCCTTTTGATGTCATGTGGTAAGGAAATGCTCCACTGAGTTTTTAAACTTCATACACCTTCATTAATTTCAGCCCTGGAAGTGCCAATTTCTTCTGAACAAAAGTAAAAGGAGCTGTTGACTTGAAAACTTGAAAACTACTGCTTCATGGCATCACAAAGTGGAACAGATCATTTTGTGCTTTGGAGAAACAAACTAATACACCACAAAAAAAAAAAAAAAAAGTTAAGATCACTTGAGTTAAGAAAGTTTTATTATGATTTCAGTAAATTTCACTTGACAAGTAAAATTATCTGCCAATGGAACAAGACTTTTTGTACTTAAAATATGAAAATACAACAAAACAACAACTCTTTGCCCTTAAAATAAGAAATAAAATCGAATGTTGCTTGAATTGAGCAAAACACACTTATTCCATTTGTACATAATTTTATTTGTCACGTTTAATCAAAGTAAAATGTTCTTAATTTAAGTCATTTTAACTTAACTAGATATTACTTTTTGCAGTGTAATAAAGGGTTAGTTAAACAAGTGTGAATAAAACAACTGTGTGAACAATATTTTAATATTTTAACATGACTTAAAGCTCACGAGAGTCCTTTAAAGACCTTTAAAGTTTCAATTACAATAAATATTTACAAGTTTTAGCTCTAAAGATTTCTGGATCATTGGCTCATGCATGAAACTGATTAAGTATTAAGAGATCACGGCCAAAGATTTATTATGTGAATCTAACCACATCAAAACAACTAAGTCAGTTTTCTCATTTTGGCTGAGTTTTAGCCAGTAAATAAAGTTAAAGCAAATACCTCACTGCCTTTTTCTGCCCCCTCTCTTCCAAGTAACTGAACCCTCATAATTTGCTAGTGACAGTGGTGGTTGAGTGGGTGGTCTCCATTTTTGGTGTTCCCCGGAGAGTGGTCGCTGCGCAAAATTGGTCATCTTCCTCACTTCCTGTCCAAGTAAGTCATCTGGACCCACACCAGTACCACACAGAGTTTAATGGGCCGTAAATGACAAATCACCGATCACAAATCCTCACAGTCGTTAAATATAAGGTCTGGAGATGGGCTCAAATGGAGGGTAAACCAGAAGTCTGCAGCTCTCATCAGAGTTAGTACCATCCGTAAAATTTATAGGCTGAAACTTAAGCTGGTATTTTATGTATGAGAGAGATGTGAAAATCTTCTTAACTTTCAGCTTGGAGTTAGTTCAGGAAAATGAGTAAATCAAATCTGGCGTGCAGCGTTTTATGGTTGGATTAGGGTTTGTGAAAAATACTTAGCCAGCTCCGTGGGTTAACAATTTCCAAAAAGATAGTGAGTTTTAATTTACAAGTGTTGGAACATTCAAAACCACTAAAGAGTTTATTTTGTAATCTGAAGATACAACCGGACTAATAGTTTAAAATAAATATTGTCTGTAAACTATATCATGTGATTTGATGTTTGCTTAAAGGTGCACTATGAAACTTTTTGGGTTGGGGGTCCGTCACCTGCTTGTTTCTGTGGATACGTGATTACTCTGCCTGGAATGTTCCACAGTATGACATTAAACAGCTACAGGTAGTTTTATAGCTCAAAAATACCAAGAAAAACAGCCAATCTGACTGTGAGTGGGGTCGCCTCTCCACAGATCTGACCTGTAACTTGGTTTGGTTTGGCCTCCACGTAGAAAGGTTTAATGCTGTACTGTGAAATCTCCATGGAGACAGGCATTTGATGGACCCTCCACCAAAAAAAGTTACACAATGCACCTTTAAACAAACCTTGGTCAGTGCTATTACAGTTTAGTGTTTTAGATTCTGCATTAAAGCCATAGTATGTAAATTTTTTAGCCAAAAAAATACACTAAAATAAAAGCCTTTATTTTAGTTTTGTCATGTGTTCGCACTCTGACCCTGACTCTTATTTGGAATGGATCAAAGGAAGAGAAACAAAACTCTTATTTGTTTCCATGGAAATTTTGTTCATTTGGTTATAATATTCCACAGTATGTACATCATATCTATTTTTGAATGTTCCAAAGTATTGTTTTAACTTTCCGTTTGGAGTCATGCAGGTGACATGCCACCCCCAGAATGTCCCATACTGTACCTGTAAATAAACTTATTACAGTGTGCTATATTCATTTCATAAAATAGTACTTAAATTTATTCGTTCAAACTGGTTTTAGTAAGTAGGTCAACTCCGTATGTCTTATATAAAAGTTTGCCTGGCATAGACATACGTACAGCAGTAGGTCTATATAACAAGACCTCGCTCTTGCCTCCAACTGCCCCGGGCTCTGTCACAGCCAGGAAGGTTTCCATAGCAACCATCACAGTAATCTGAAAAAAAAAAAAAAAAAAAAAAAACACAGAAAGACTTCACATCGGAAAGATATTTATCTTAAAAGACTGATTTGAAAAGCAGAATATGCACTTAACATTTTTCTCTAATAAATATCATTGTTGTAAATCAAGCTTGACTTAGTTCTTGAGAATAAATCTTTGATATCTCACAATTAGATACGGTAATTAAACTGACTTAAAAAAAAAACTAAATGAGGGGATTAAGAATTTTCTACATTACATACTTGTCAGTCAGTCAATGTTTTTAACTCATCAAAAAGATACCAGGAGATCCATAATCCTGCATTATTAGTCTGTGTACATCTCCAAAGTTTAAAATTTAGTTCAGTAGAGACAACACAACTCCAAGTATGTTTTTGATGAGTAGAACATCACAGAAAGATCGATCAGAAGATAGATAAAAAAAAAAAAAAAAGCGTAATATGGACCCTTTAAATTTACATAAACAAAACAAAATTTGATGTTATGAAATCAACTGTCTGAAATAAATCTCCATAACGGCAGGTGAATTTGGTTTACCAGAGATCTTTAATAAAAGTGTTACATCTTATAGAAGACAGCAGGAGCACACAACATTGGTCATATGTACACACTCCACACAAACTCACACACAGAGAAACACAAACGCACATGTTTTTGGCCATTTTGTACAGTACACTTTAGCACAGAAAAGGACAGGAGCTGCAGTATTTTCATGTAAGACAAGTTTCCCAGTGCACAGCAAAAACCCCACTGAGTTTGGAGAATAAATCCCTCATTGACGATAGAAAGAGAGAGAGAGAGAGAGAGAGAGAGAGAGAGAGACGAGAGAGAGAGAGAGAGAGAGAGAGAGAGAGAGAGAGAGAGAGAGAGAGAGAGAGAGAGAGAGAGAGAGAGAGGAGGGGGCAGAGGAGGTCTTACAGGGGGAAGAGTATATTTTGGAGTACATGACTTGGTTTGACTCAAATATATTACAAACTTGTTTATGATGTTATAAGGTAGATGGTGGTAAGTTAAAACTGGGGCACCTGACTTTTTATTTTTATTTTGTCTTTTCCTTATAGACTGTATAGAACAGAGGTCTCCAACCTTCTTCTTTTACAAAATTAAACTGCCAGAGAGCTACTAGTTTTACCAGTCACAAGAAGTGGAGTACATTTAAGTACCAAGGCGAGCCTAAAATGAGATTCAGTTAGATGCCTATAAAACATAAACCATTAGCCATTTATTAGTGCACAAGGTTAGGCATCAAAATAATACAATGGTAATAGGCATTTAAGTGATCAAATTTTACTTAGTCAGGACCATCCATCCATGTTCTTCTGCTTATCCGGGGCCGGATCACGGGGGCAACAGTCTAAGCAGAAACTCCCTTCACCCTGGACACTTCCTCCAGCTCCTCCGGGGGGAACCCAAGGCATTCCCAGACGAGCCAAGAGACATAGTCCCTCCAGCGTGTCCTGGGTCTTCCCCACAAACTCCTTCCAATGGGACATGCCCGGAACACCTCCTAAGGGAGGCACCCAGGAGGCATCCAGAACAGATACCTGAGCCACCTCAGCTGGCTCCTCTCTCTGTGGAGGAGCAGCGGCTCTACTCCGAGCTCCTCCTGTGTGACTGAGCTCCTCACCCTATCTCTAAGGGAGCACCCTGCCACCTTACAGAGGAAACTCATTACGGCCGCTTATATTCGTGATCTCATCCTTCCTGTGATTACTCAAAGCTCATGACCATAGTTGAGGGTAGGATCGTAGATTGACCAGTAAATCGAGAGCTTTGCCTTTTGGCTCAGCTCCCTCTTCACCACAATATGATACAGTGACCGCATCACGGCCGACGCTGCACTGATCCACCTGTCAATCTCACACTACATCCTCCCCTCACTCGTGAACAAGACCCCGAGATACTTGAACTCCTCCACTTGAGGCAGAATCTCTCCACCTACCCGGAGAGGGCAAGCCAACTTTTTCTGGTCGAGAAATCTGATTAGTCAGGATGTTATGTCAATATAGAGACCCCCTAGGACAGAAGAATTGGACTAACGGCATGTGATGTCACCCCTAGCGTTTGGCTCCAGTCAAATGAAGCTCATCGAGGCTGCAGTTCCATATTTGAAATTCTGACTGCAAGTATCATAGCAACCAAACAACCATCAGTAGTAAGGTTGCTGAAGGCGCTTAGCAACACTATCAATCAAGCCTGTTGCTGAAGCTGGAGGGAGTGACCTTGGGGTTCATATTTTGATTTATGGACAAAATAGAGAAATATAAACACCAGGACGATGTAGTGTGGGTTAATATAACATCGAGCGAGCAGGTTAGTTATGTCCAGTTGTGTATAGAGTCTATAGTTTTCTCGCAATAAGAGTACATTGTAAAAGCAGCACTTAAGAACTCAACAAAATGAGAGCGCTGCACTGTGAGCCTGATCATTTATATTTTTAACGAGACCCCAGAACTCATTATATAACAACAAAAACTGCATTTTAACTATATTAATTTTAGCTTCCCCAGTCTATATTAAATAATATTAAACTTTAAAATGTTGCGAATGTTTTTTTTTTTTTGCTTTGTGAAATCAGGTACCCCAGTTTTAAAGGTCCAGTAATCAAACCATTGAATGAGGCAATAATCATATCGTAGGCCCATCTGATAAATTTTGAGGAATAACACAAGATACAAGAAAGACACTTATTGGTTAAAATTATGATTTCATTATAACAGCAAAAGCCCATGATGAGAGCTTGTCCATTGTGAATAATGAGCACCCAAACATGGCAATTTTCAATCAACCATAATTATCACAAACAAAAAAGAGGACGAGTAGGTGCTTCATAATTTCAAGTTGCGAGTGTCATTTTCAAGTTTTAAACATTAGTTGTGTAATAGATTGTAGACCAGGCCTGAAATGACATCTTACCGCTGTGTAAATATCTATTTTTTTCTTTTTTATATTTACCTTGATGATCAGATAGAGAAATTTGTGTGGAGGAGTTTGTGTGCAGCCATTCCCATCGGAACAAGCAATACCACAACTTCATGAATGTTCCACAGTATGCATTAAAGGTCAGATTTTACACAGAATTCACTCTTGTTTAACTCTTGTTGTTGTTGGAATTTTGTTTTGTTTCATTCACACATGTTTGAGTAATCCTTTAATATTAGTCTGTCTACCTCTCCAAAGTTTAGAATGATCTGTTCCACCTTGTGATGTCATGAAGCTGTAGTTTTCATGAAACCATCCAAATTATTTTAGAGAAGGTGAATATGTGTAAATGAAACAAATCATAACTCCAGGTATGTTTCTGACGAGGAAACAACATTATAACATCGATCAGAAAATCTGTCTATCTCCATGGAGCAGGTGACACTCCCCCAAGCCAAATTACAGCTCTGATCTGTGGAGAGGTGACTCTGCTCCAAGAATCTACATATTTCTATAAGTTTTTGAGCCATGAAAACACTTGGTGGTTGAATAAATGTAAGATAAGTTAGGTTTAATGCCATACTGTGGAAGGCAAAGTAATAATATATCCATGCAGACTATGAGGTTGTGGACCAGATTTCAGAAAAGTTACACAGTGCACCTTTAAGAGATAGAAACAAGATAGAAATCCACCCTCATGACAAGTATACACTGATTTTCATAAAAGATTTGGCAGCCTCCCCTCTGTAAGAAAACCTCAGTATATAGCAGTGAAAAGACAGAAAACCCCAAATGTGAAGGGCAAGTAGGGCAGGTCAGGAATGGCTCGGGAGGGGTCGAAGTTCAGAGGTTAAAGCGTTCCTTCATCGAGCAGTTTGTTGATTCCGTTGCAGATTTTGCGTAGCGACACTCTGTACTCTTCCTGATCGCCGTACAACTCCGTCAAAAACTCCACGTGAGCGAAATGGTTGAAGACGTGATCGATTCGGGTGTGCGATCTTGGCGTCAGGTGTTGCTCAACAATACCATGAAGCAGGTCTCTACACTCCAAAAGCAACTCGGAGAGGATATTCCTGTCAAACGTGTAATCAACTTCGTAGAAAGATACCGCTGTCATGGCCGCCTGGTTCATTTTCTTCTTGAATCTCTCCACCGTGTCCAGCTCGTCGGGACTGAACTGGTGGTTGCGATACAAGATGCCGATTTTGAGCGCGATTTTGATGACGTCTTTGATGATTTTGTGCGCTTCCTTCTTGCTTTTGGTGAACTCGCGGCTGGCCTTGTACAGCTCGTCCAGGATCTCGCTGCTCGTGTCGTCCGTTAGCATGTTGGCGACCACCATTGTGGCCATCTTGCTCAGGATCTTCTTCTGAGCTTGTAGGGCCAGGGAGCGGGAGTTGAAGCCCTCCTGTCCTAAAAAATAAGAGACAATGGACATAATGAGTTTAGAGAGAGTGGGAGTCAAATTATTGCTCCAGTTCAGAGTCAAAAAGGTCATGAAAATGTCTCACTCATTGAGCTGTACATGCACTGTGCACTGACAATCCCAGACGTCCCTATTTACCCAGTTTTGAGCCCTGCGGCCCCTGTCCCCGCAGATTTATCCAAACCCATTGATTTGTCCCAGTTTTATACAAGAAACGTCCCTATTTTTTACCAATTTTATACCTGCCAACAGTAAAGAGAGGCATATATTGACATTTGTTAAGGTAAAATACAGAAAAGCTCCATAAAAATGACCAAAACACAAAGAAAATGTGACTATACTGACTCGCAAGTGCAAAACAATTTTCCTTAATTATGCACTCGTTTCACAATTTTATCATCACCAACCGAGAGTGTCCCAGTTTTTGAAATTCTGGTCACGCTAATCCTGGATATTGTGGTGTAGTATGTGTGGTGGAGTGGGTGAAGGTTTTGCCCAACAACTATAACAAAATTGTAAAAAACAAAAGTGTGGTGATCATGTGTATGTTTTTCTTGAAAGATGCAAATGTTTTTTTAATGTGATACTTTGTGATTTTACTGTTGATTCATCGTATTGATTGTGTTGGCCTGACCTTGGCCAAGTTCTCAATCTCAATGGGACCTCCTGGTTAAATAAAGGTGAAATAATATATATATATAAAACAAGGTTACCAGTTCAAAGGGTTTACAGTACAAGATTACAGTAATTATGCAAAATTTAAACAAAAAGCAGGAAGCGTGTGGTTAGCATGCTTCTGAAAGTTGTGAAAAACACTTATAAACTTATCATGAATATTAAGGATGCTCGGAGTGCCTAAGTGAGGTATAAGTTTGGACCACTGCAAACTGTTTAAAATTAACCAATACTATAGATGTAATGATATCCAAATCTCTCGGTACAATATTAACACGATATGCATCTCAAGGTACGATATTTATTGCGATATTTTGAAGAGGCTAATATAATTGTAGATAGGACACTTTTTTTACTTTTAAAATACCTTGACAAGATTTTGGTGTGAATTATTTCTGTCATAATCTCAAGAATTCAAGTAAAAAACATATTTTTTCATGTTGTTTGCACTGAAATGAATCATGAGATATGTAGTTCCCTATGTTTGTAAGCTGTTGCTACTATAAAACCATGCATTTGAGCAAAGGAACTTGTGATTCAACATATTGTGACAGCCCAAGATATTATTGTGAGACTTTTGATGATACAATATCATGATATTTTGGTTATTGTTACATCCCTAACCAATACTGTTCTGGTTTTGCTGTTACCTCATCAAAAACATACCTGGAGTTGTGTTTTGTTTCAATCACACATGTTTGAGTAATCCTGCATTATTAGGTTGTCTAACTTTCCAAAACTCAAAATGGTCTGTTCCACCTTGTGATGTCATGAAGAGATTGGCAATTTCAGGGCTGAGATTATGCAAATGATGCTGGTGAAGGTGTATGGAGTTTTAAAACACGGTGCGAATGAAACAAAACACGACTCTAGGTATGTTTTTGATGAGGAAACAGCATTATAACATAAATCAGAAAATAGCGTACTATAGGACCTTTAAAACCATTGCATTGTCTATTTATCACCACAATTGACATACGCCATCAACAGGACAAACCCACATGAGTAAAATGAATCACAAAATGTTCATATCTGACCCTTCCGTGGCATTTCTCTCAAACACATTTCAAATTTCTGAGGAAAAATGGGAGAGCGATGGAGACATTTGGCTGACCTTTTGGAGTTACTCTGGGACAATCCATCCTGACACTTACAGCAGCTACAGATGTGAGGGCCGTTTCAACTGAACTTTTGAAGTCTTACATGAAAATATGAAATTTAGACGTAATCAAATTGACTCCTTGAAAAAAATATTTGTGTTCAGAGGCGGTAAAAATGTGGGAATGTGAACTTTTAACCGCGGAAAGGATTTTGAGTTTGTAAACAGAATAAAGTGTTGCTTTGGGAGTTTTGTGTGTTAAAACAACAACATCTGTCACTGTCAGAGAATTAAAGAAACAGTGTGGAGAATTGTGGGTAATTTCTGACTGCAATTTGTTCGCAATCAGTCATCAGTGTTGCTTATATTGTGTAAATAAATATCTTGATGACAACATATCTTCAAGTTCAAAAACTAGTGGTGCAAACAGGATGTCAAAAATACATAACAATATTAATAAACTATGTAACTGGACTCTAAAATTGTTCAGTATGTCACTAAAATAAATATACAGATTTGCATGTAATGTAGTTTCTCTACTCATAAAAGTGACTGTAGGTTACTGGCTGGTGGTTAAGCAGACAACCAACTCATAACCTCCCTGCAAAATGCCTCAAGGACTAACCCAAAATTAAAGACTAAACCGGGTCTAAAGCTGGAATTTTGCTGGAAATCATCTTGCAAGTATCAGTTCACTTGATCCTGGGCATATAAATCAATTTAATATGACCATTTACTGATCGTAGATGACTCAGAAAGTCTCAGTGTTTGAACTTCTATTTAATTAAATTTGTTTTATTTTTACTTGAGAGATAAATACAGTAACAACGACATAACACATGTGAACCAGTTTTGCCTTATGTTATTTTTGTTTTCAGAAAATAAATGCTGTTTCTGCACTGGTATCGGTTACATGTTTATCAGCAGATACTTTAAGGCCTACGCACACTTGGACACTTTTATAGGTAATCTCCAGGTAAAATGCAAATTTATAACACACAGCAAGTGTAGCCATCCTGGTTTTCTTCACAAAAAAGGACCTCACGCTGCGTACTGATGATCATGTGTGCCAATATTTATTCTCAATAATCTTCCACTCCATCAACACATTGAGCACAGTGAAAACATGTTCGCCTATACATCACCAGCAGTAGTTAAATAGCGTTTCTTAATTTTGACGTCTTTTCTTTACACCCTTTTCTGTGTTTCTCTCTATAATCTTTTTTTCTCTCTTTCGCGACTACTATTTTTCTCAATCTGTTTACTTCCGGGGCAAGGTAAAAGGTCACATTTTCACAAATAAAATATAAAATTAAAAACTGTGGTGTTCTGACACATCTTAAATATTTGAACAAATAAAATAATGATTTTCTAACGTCTTACCATGAAAACAAATATACTGACATTATCGCCAGTTACAGCAAGAGTTGTGTAAAAGTCTTTTAAAGAGCTAAATCGGTGCATCCCGAGTACAAACTAAGACCAACTAAACTACTAGAGAAAACATTTGAATACTTGGAAGCTGGGCTGTGGACTAGATTAGATCGTTTGCAGAGCCTGATTTAGCCCCTGGGCTGCAGGTTGAATAGGCCTGTTGTGTACTGTGGGCACTGAAAAAACTATAGCACTACCTTACAGATAATTCAGTACACCATTATTCTGTCCCCATGCAATAGTAAAACTCAATTTAATCCTGTTTGGTCATTAAATTACATCTAATGACCACAAAATGGAAAGTTGCAAGCCACAAACAATAAACAGCATCTGCTATTTTAAACAATTAGCAGACCCTCAAGAGTTTAAAATATCCACAGGGAAATCTTAAGAATTCTCAAATAGTCCTCCCACAGTTTGGAGTCAGGGTTTAAGAGACATTTTTATAAAAACAACAAACGCTCAGAGGGTTGAGATAAGGCCAGTGTATCTGTAGCATGTTAATGTTAGGAGCACTGGGTCTGATCAGCTCTCCTCATGTGTTTACACAGAGCAGCTGAGGCGCATCCACAATGACGTGGTTTATAACTCCCCCTGACCCAATCAAATAAATAAGGCCACATTCGCACAGTTTTCTTAGAAGTTACAGTAAGCTTGTGATCAGAAGTACACCCGCCCCAGCTTCAATAATGTGCAGCTATAATATCGGGTTATATGGTTTTACATAATGACAACATTCTATGTAGTCAATTTTCAAAGAGCTGTGCATTGTGCTATTCCAGTGTTTCTCAAACTTTTTTTTCTGGGGACCCATATTTTAAAAGGCACAAACCTTCATGACCCAAGTCAATAGACATTATTCATAAATAAAGGTGGAATTATTGAACATTGATGAGGATATTTTACTGTTGACTCAGTGATCGTGTCTCTTTGAACAATTAGTATTACTCAAATTTTAAACAATGAAAAACAATAACTGAACCAGCAATAAAAGGATCCATAAGTTGCCTATTTGGACATTAAATGTAGCCCATTTGTTTTTCTTTTCAACATTCAATTGAACCAGCAATAATGGAACAAGATAGTCAATAAAATAATTATAAAAAGATTAGAAATTATACAAACCATGTCTTAACATTTCTATTGAGATAGGTGGGCTTGTCTGCAACAGAGCGAGAGCGCAACAGCAGATCAGGCGCAGCATTCAGTCTGTTTCTGTGCTTTGTCTTCATTTTTGTGAGCATTTTTGTGAAAATCCCAATTCACACATGCATGTAATAGTGAGAGAAATAAGCATAGAAACACTGGCCCTACTGAGGACAGAATATTCTGATGAAATGCTTATTCAGAATGATGATAAGGTCACAAATCCATGTGTACAACTGTATACTGCAGACCAACATGCAGATCATGACAAGGCGACCCAAAGAAAATCTCTTGTCTTGTCAACTTAGTCTTTGTGAAACCCTGAGCTATTCAAAGCAATTCATAATAAGTGAGAGCAAAGTCTTGATTAATAGTGCACTGTGTAACTTTTCTGATGTATGGCATGCCAGTGCTTTGTCTCCATGGAAATGTAACTCATGAAATGATTGACATATGCTGTTTAAACATTTTTTATCTTTATTTGTCATTATTTCAAATACAGGTGTTATATTGCTAAAAAAAAAATGCTTTGTGTCTCTCCACTGACCTCACATGTAATTTGGCTTGTTTCCATTCAGACAGATAAGTTTAAAACCATATTGTGAAAAATTCTGGCAAAACAATAACATCTCC